TTAGACATGACTCTTAGGGCCTACTCACACTATGCCATCCGTACCGTGCCCAGGCCCGTTTCCCGGATCATTTGAGAAGTGTGAGTGCGCTGAATCGGGCTCAGGCCTGGCCCGGTTGGAAGAGGTGGGCTTGAGCGCGGTTCACTTGGGCTCACTTGGGCGCGGTACGTTTGTAGTGTGAATGCAAAACACGCCAAAGCCCGAAACTGAAAGCAAGACGTGACTTTTAAGGGACTGTTTCATATGGACTTATTAATCAATCTTACTGTTCAATGAACGCAACCTGCCGTAGCTTATTAAATACGCAAACCCCTCACTGCACGACATCTGCACGCCTTCAGCAGACCTCCTCATTCCTGCAGCAGGAGAGCTTTATGATTGTTTATGAGCGCCAAAAGTGGCGGATCTGTTCAGCGAAATATCTGACTGCGTGTCACCGCATCCCTAAGAACTGTTTGGCGAAATATTTGACTGCATGTTACTGCATATCAAACCGACTGAAACAATATAACTAGAGAAATCTCCACTGTGCTGCTGAGTGACAGGCACTTCTTACTGAACAGCGCAGCATCGATGATGTAAGCGTGCCCAGGCCCGATTGTGGTGTGAGTGGGGGCCGTCGGGGGAGACGGGAGGGGGGACAAGCGTGCTTTGGCCCGGTTCGAGGCAACTGTACCTAGTGTGAGTATGGCCTTAGCTAGGTTAATGACACTTAGCTAGGTTAAATCACTGTAAAACAGTGGTTTGTTCTGTAGCCAAACGAAAAATATATATTGCTTAAGGGGGCTAATAATATTGACCTTAAAATGTTTTTTTTTTTTTTTTTAACTACTTTTAAAACTAAAACTAAATAAAACAAATAAGACTTTCTCCAGAAGAAAAATTCCTTGCTCTGTTTAACATCATTTGGGATAATATTTGAAAAAGGGAAAAAAGGAGGGCTAATAATTTTGACTTCAACTGTATGTCAGAAATCTGGAAAAGCGTGGAAAGACGCACCACCCACACTGAGAGAGATTAGTGTGCAGTGGATGACTTCCACCCTGCCAAGCATCTTTTGATTAATATGTTTGCATTGCAAAGCGCTTTGCATTTCCACCTGCACATGCAAAAATAATAAGCATCTTTTTTTCTGAAAGGTTGGCATGCTGTCTAGTGTATGTGATGCTTTTAGTCTGTCTTGTTTGGGCCAATCTGACAAAGCCTTTGAATTCATGAACAGCAGTAACTCGCTTATCAAACTGAATGTGTTTTTATTTCTTTTTTTTTTTTTTTTAAAGATGAGTTTCCATTCGAGAGATGCCAGAGGAGATGGAGTCTGTCCCTGCTCTGCGAAAAACACCACTCACATCTGTTTTGTTTAAGGGGGATCTGGGAATCATGGTTGCCTGTGGAGAAATGTATGCACTGAAATGAATGAGAGTGAATGAAGGAGAGGAGTTTTTGTGTGCACATAGAATGCAGCATTGGGGGGCGTTCATAAACAATACTGTATATTCATTCGCTGCTGTTTCTCATTCATGACATGTTCCTGTCTGTGCATTCTTTGCTTGTTTATATCAGGGTCAGAAAATGTTAGAAATGCTTATACACACAAGATCCAAAAAATAATGGGTTATTCAAGGGAAAATACGAAACATTTGCAGCAGTCTTTATCAATAAGTCATTACATTTTTGGAGAAACAAACCTTTTATGTATAAGCTTGTATAAGCTGGTTTGCTTTGTGGCTTATGATGCTTCAAAGGGTACCTATGATGAAAATCATCTTTTGGAAGCTGTTAAGACAGAACCGTGTGTAGGTATAGTGTGTCCACGGTCATACTGGGGTGATAAAGACAATAAGTCTTAAATTTCCTGATGTTAAAAGTAGGATACAAATCCCTACGATTTTGGGGCCGACCACAGCGTGATGTACAATAGTACGTTGCTTTCTTATAAATTTTTACCCGAAATGTTAATTACATGCTGCTAATGAATTTTCACACGCAGTGTCAATTATACGCTGCTTTTTAAGGAGATTTCACACAGTGTCAATTATACGCTGCTTTTTAAGGAGATTTCACACAAAATGTCAATTATACGCTGCTTTGTTACGAATTTTCACGCTAAATGTCAATTATACGATGTCAATTTTACGCTGCTTTTTAAGGAGATTTCACACGAAATGTAAATTATATGCTGCTTTCTTACGACTTTTCACACAAAATGTCAATTATACGCTGCTTTTTATGGAGATTACACGTGAAATGTCAATTATATGCTGTTTTGTTAGAAATTTCACGCGAAATGTCAATTATACGGTGTCAATTTTACGCTGCTTTTTGAGGAGATTTCACCCGAAATGTAAATTATATGCTGTTTTCTTACAAATTTTCATGCACAATGTCAATTATATGCTGCTTTCTAAAGAATTGTCATGTGCAATGTCAATTATATGCTGCTTTATACATTTTACGCACTGTCAATTATACGCTGCTTTCTAAGGAATTGTCACGCACAATGTCAATTATACGCTGCATTCTTACGAATTTTCACACGCAATGTCAATTATATGCTGCCTTTTGAATTTTCATGCGCAATGTCAATTATACGTTGCTTTCTTGCGAATTTGACATGCAATGTCAATTATATGCTGCCTTATGAATTTTCATGCGCAATGTCAATTATATGCTGCTTTCTTACAATTTTTTTACGCACAATGTCAATTATATGCTGCTTTCTAAAGAATTATCACGTGCAGTGTCAATTATATGCTGCTTTATAAATTTTACGCACTGTCAGTTATACGCTGCTTTCTAAGGAATTGTCACACGCAATGTCGATTATATGCTGCTTTATGAATTTTGCGCAATGTCAATTATACGCTGCTTTCTTTTAAATTTTTACACGCAATGTCGTTTATATGCTGCTTTATGAACTTTCACATGCAATGTCAATTATACGCTGCTTACAAATTTTGACATGCAATGTCAGTTATACGCTGCTTTATGAATTTTCACTGGCAATGTCAATTATACGCTGCCTTAAGAATTTTCATGCGCAATCATATCATATTTTCATGTCAATCATATGCTGCATTCTTACGAATTTTCACGCGCAATGTCAATTATATGCTGCTTTCTAAAGAATTGTCATGCGCAATGTCAATTATTTGCTGCTTTATGAATTTCACGCACTGTCAATTATACGCTGCTTTCTAAGGAATTGTCACGCGCAATGTCAATTATACGCTGCTTTCTTACGAATTTTTACCAGCAATGTCAATTTTAAGCTGCTTTATGAATTTTCACACGCAATGTCAATTATATGATGCTTTCTTACAAATTTTTACATGCAAGGTTAATTATATGCTGCTTTATGAATTTTATGCACTGTCAGTTTTATGCTGCTTTCTTGCGAATTTTTACACACAATATCTGTTACTCGTTGATTTCTTACAAATTTTCACACGTGTGAAAAGGCTGACCGCGGCTTGATGTAGGACTGCGGTTTTCCCACCGACTGAATTGATTGACAGTCGCATATTAACATATCTCTGTAGTAACATGTATAATCATATCAACAACACAGGACGTGCGCAAAACTACTGAGATTAAAAGATCTGTTCAGCTCACTGTGATCATCAATCTTCATCAAATGTGATCAAGAATGAGTTTTACAAGTTTAATTGTTTTTAAATCAGTGCATGTGTAATAAATTACATCGATTTTTCCCAGCACTGAGGGTTGTATTCTCAGTGCTAGTGTTTCTGAAAGGGCATCTGCTGGGTAAAACAATTGCCAGAGTAATTGTTGGTTCATTCCACTGTGGTTATAAGTTAAAACAGGTTTTAAGTTAAAGGAAGATTGGCGTTTGCATTTTATTGATGAGCATTAGCATCAATAAAGCAAAAACAGACAAAGCAACTGGAAGTATTGTCAATTTTAACCCCTTGACTGTTCTATCAAGGAGTTACACCTGCAGTCGGTCTGAAGATCTAATTCAGTTTACTTATTCAGTTTATTATTATTCTGTTCTTGTGAAATTATGCTAATTGTTTAGGAATTCATTGGAAACGTGTTTTGTTTGGGGTAGGTTTTGACACATTGCAGCTGATTTAAGCTGGTTCATGCTAGTCATGAGCTTGTCAGGACCAGTATAGGACCAGCAAATTGACTGATGGATTTTACTTGACAATTTTAACAAAAATATACAAACAAGTCCAATTAGAGTAATTCATACATATTTTCAAAACCGTAGAGCAGTGGTCACCAAACTTGTTCCTGGAGGGCCGGTGTCCTGCAGATTTTAGCTTCAACCCTAATCATACACACCTGAACAAGCTAATCAAGGTCTCACTACTTGAAACATCCAGGCAGGTGCATTGAGACAAGTTGGAGCTAAAACCTGCAGGGACACCGGCCCTCCAGGAACGTGATTGGTGACCTCTGCCGTAGAGGATGAAATACACAAAAAGCCACAGGTTTATTTCCATTGTGGTCCACATGACCAGCAGAAAAACATCTTAAATCAGCTGCCATGAGTAAAAACCTATAACTAGGGCCAGACAGAATCTGCTGACATTTTTTGCTGTATCTGTGCAGAATTGTGCAAAAATCTGCAAATTTATTTGGAATGTCCTATAACTAAAAGCTTAATAAATAATATTTTGAAAATCCCCTTACTTTTATTTAGCAATTACAATACAAGTCGAATTAGATCCACTTAATTGGTAAACTAAGCAAGTCTCTTATATAATAAAGCTAATAAAAATCATACTTGGTAATATTACTGAAATCAAATAAAAAACTCAATATTCACACACATTTACACAAATAAAGACTCAATAACCTATTCCTATTAATGAGTTTTATGTAAAAAAATGTTATATATATATATATATATATATATATAGATAGATAGATAGATAGATAGATAGATAGATAGATAGATAGATAGATAGATAGATAGATAGATAGATAGATAGATAGATAGAGAGAGAGAGAGAGACATTATAATCAACACTGGAGGACATGTGTTAAATAAAAGTTTACGTCAGTCATTGTAGGCATCATGCGTCAGACTGAAGCATCTTTATAAGACAGCCTGTCAAGTTACAAACAAGCAGAGCAACTTTTAAAAACGCGTCAAGGCTGTTCCACTCCGCCACGCTCCGTCTCGCTGCTGAACTGAAGGTAAACGTGAACGCCTCGCTGCACCTGCGGCGGGAAACACCTCGTGGAGAACAGCAGCTTTCCTCCAGACTAAATATAGATCCACGGCGAGGAAACCCGGACACCGCGCCTCCACACGCACGGCTCGTTCAATCGGCATGTTGTGATTAGCTGGAAAGTTTGAGTCTATCGTTGCCATCTCTCCCCGTTTTGCCACAGGGATTTGAATCGCGTAAAAAAGATACTAAGCTCACAAGAAGTACACACGCGTAGAGCGCATTTTTAACTCGTTGTTCCTGGCGGCGCGCACACGCTGTCCAACAAGTGCATGTTTGAAGGTCTGCGGTTTGCAAACAACCGGGTGGACATGACAGGATAACGACCTGGAGCTCGACTCGATCCTCGCCACCTCTCTAACCCGCACGTGCATTGTCGCAGTGAAAAAAAAAACGCGCGTTTGTTTGATAAGCGTCGAGTGAGCTGAGCTCGTGGATTATGTGGATCTGCTTGCGCTAACCGCTGATGGAGCCGCCGTAATTCGGAGTCACGGTCATTATTTTACAACAAATTAAAACCCGGGTGGTTTTGCGTAGTTTATATGTTGATGGTCTTAACCTAAAAATCATCCAAAGCACCCGTGACTGTGAAGACTTCCCTACACCTGTTTTCTTGGAGAGGGCTGCGCAATAGCGCACGCTGCGAGAGCACTGTCGGACCTTTCCATGGAATCGATCTTCACTGAGGCTTTCGCTCCGATCTGATTTGGGGTGAAAAGTTACTGGACAGTTAATCATATATATGAGGAGCGTTGTACACGTCCTGGTCAACACAGAACGCAAACATGCCTATGCATCCGGTGACTTCCACTTTGATGTACCGGGGGATCTGCACCATTCCTGATATTCTGTCTTACCGGGCACCGGTCAACCTACCTGAGGATGAGGTGGAAGGTGAGTGTGTGTTTTTATTACCATGTTTAATTGTATACTGTATGAAATGACAAGTTATTTTGTTTTATTTCATTTTTTTGCGTATTTCAACCTCTTTCAGTGGGTCGATGCTCTGCGCACCTGTTCGGTATTTGTCACATTCTCTTCCGTGGCTCAGTGACCCAGTTTTGAATTAAATGTAATGTAGGTGAAAAATGTTATCATTTTTCATTTTAGTTTGGCAACAATTAGCCAGTTTCACTTAAATGTTTCTCTAGAAGATGAATCTGATTTTGTGATTTATGGAAAGTTGGTCTAACACAAGCTAGGAGAAAGAGCTGTGAGTGGTTAATACAGTTGAGACATCTCTTTAGCATCAATCTGACAGTTTTCACTGTGTGAAAGCGCAAATACCAATAGAATCAGAATATATGAACTCTTCCTCAAGTTGATCATATTTAGTGTAAAAATGCTTGCAGTTTCACACAGTATTTCCATGATCTTGTGTCAGAAAGTTTGATGAGTGTCCTCCTGAACACAGTCACATTACTATGCCTTACTGATTTAAAAAAAAAAAAAAAAAAAACATACTTTGGGATTTATGGAGAACAGGTCTGCTATTGGTATAGATCGTTCTTTGATGTTGACCTCTCATTTGGAATTATGACTCTGAAAACAAGTCATTTTGAGCCAATCAACCAACCTCACAAAAACAAACACAAAAAAAGATTATAATATATTTGCACTACTAATTGCTGGTTGGTGTATATTGGTCCTGGAATATTAGATTTTGCAAGTCTCCCTTATTCAGTACACTTCATCTTTCAAACGGAGGCACAAAACATGAAGAGGATGCGTCAGCTAGAGAGACATCCTAAATGTGCAATGCTGCAGACCTGCAGGTTCACGATTTATAGTGGTTTACCTTGATAAGCATCCAATTAAAAAAAATCATTAAATTGTAATTTGAAGTAGCCTCATTGTGGTCTACATGTTCAATAAAGACCACACAAATGGCTTTTAGAAAATTAGACAAAATACTGTTTTTCCACCACCATGAAATGCTTTATATAATACCATGCTTTTTATATATGTTTTTAAAAATACTTTAGCGAGTGCATGGTTGCATGAAGTAAACATTTAAAATTAACTCCATTTAAGTTTTTAACTGCAAAATTAGAAATGCTTATTTAATGTGAGCATGTAAAATGGCAAATGTCAAAATGTTCAATCAAACACATTTATTCGATTAGTTTTCCATCAAACGCATTATTACTGCGAGTGCCATCTAATCGTGTGATTGTCGGCTCAGTTCAAAGTGTCTTTCCAGATCAATCTTTTGTGATTAAGGTTTAATTGGGTATCTCAGCACCTCATTACTATTCCACTTATCAAGGCATGTTTTCTATCTGTATGTCTAGTTAAATAAAAACCAAAATATCAAGGCTGATTCTGATTCTTCTAACCTTTAACCCTTATGTACCATACTGTTGGTGGTATTTTCATAAACTCTGAGGTGATTTTGAGTCTTAATTTGGCCATTACATTTTTTTTCCGTTTCTGCTAGCAGAATGATTTTTGCTCATAAATCTTGTTTTGACACATATTTAGAGAATGCTTTGAAAAAGCATTTGGCAAATTGACTAACCTTTTGTTATGTTCGGGATGAAAACATCCACTGAATTAAACTGCTGTAAAAATGCAGCAGATAAATATTTTTCTGTATTTTTGGCATAAATCTGATAATCAACCTCCCTCCTGATCAAAACTATTAAATTTCTTAGAAACTTACATGATTTTAACTCTTTAATTGCCAAATTCATAAATGATGTCACTAATTTGGTTTAAAAAAAACCCCAAATGATGTATTTTTATTATAAAAAGTAATTGTGAACTTCTTTTTGTTAACATTGTATCGAAGTCTTGGACATGTGATACAACATTGCTTTTGCATTGTATTTTTTATTAATTTTCACTTTTTTTCTCTCCCTAATTTATTGTTGGTGGCTGTTTTTGCCCCATTGACTTTCATTATAACCACATTTTTGTTGATTACAAAACCATGACACCATATAATTATGCATTTTTGATCTTAGGAAGAGGTAAAATTAACCATTAACCTTTTTATTGATTGTTTGTTTGTTTTTTTTTTGTTTTTTTTGCAAAAAGCTTAGTTTCTGGATTTTATATGTAGTATAAAGGCAAATTAAAGCGTGTGTCTGAGTGACCTTTACGCACTTACCTTGATGTGTCTGAGAAAATCAAAATATGCATCTTAGTGCTCAGAACTACATGGATGGAGTAAATAAAAACAAAGACTGTGTATTTATGCACCCTCAAATGTGGTTATAATGGAAGTCAATGGGGCAAAAACAGCCACCAACAGTAAATTAGGGAGAAAAAAATTAAAATCTAAATGCATCAAAGCCGATGTTGTTACTAATCATTCACATGTCAAAGACTGGTAAAAGGTAAATAAAAAAAAATTACTTTTATATTGAAAATGCATCATTTTGTGTGTGTTTTTTTCCACCAAATCAGTGACATAATGTATGAATTTGGCAATAAAAGAATTAAAATCCTGTAATTTTTAAAAACATTTAATAGTTTTGATCAGGACTGAGGTTAATTAACAGATTTATGCAAAAATAAAATGGAAAGAATATTTATCTGATGCATTTTTACAGCATTTTCAGTGGTTGTGTTCATCCTGAACATAACAAAAGGGTAGTCAATTTGAACAGTGCACGAGGGTTAAAAGTCTTGTATGAAAAGTGATTGTATAAAGCTAAAAAAAAGGTGCTACAGCTCAGCAAGCTTTTTTGTTTTTATAGGATGTCTAAAAGATGTCTAATAGATGTCTAAACATAGTCGTCTTGGCTAAAACAAAGCTAAATTTGGGCTGTCAGTGAAAATCGCATAGATGTCTAAGAATAGGCTAAAACTAGACTAGTCATCAAATAGACAGAAATAAATGAATAAATATAAAGTCTGTCTAATCTGTCTATTTGACGACTAGTCTATTTTTGGGCTAATCTTAGATGTCTATTAGATTTTCACTGACAGTCCAAATTTAGCCTTTAGCCAAGCTGTCTACGTTTTGATGTACTGTATTCACCTTATTCTCAGCTGTCGAGTGGGCGCTGCCATTTGAATCTTTTTGTCTCGCGACTTCCGGTCACATTCACTTCCATTCATTTTTTTGACGTTAACAACTGCTCGTCACGCTGCTTGATGTTGCAATTTAATATTTTCTTATTATATTATGCTACTTGGTCTGTGTAGTCATGCAAACATTTGTTTGTTGAGCAAGTAGTTTGGCCATTTTCTGCCGTTTATTATTCCTAGTCATTTCTCCCATAGGCGACTGAATCGGAAGTTCTAAGACAATCGCGAAAACAGGCGCACTTCTGCATTTTAGAATAAGGTCAATAGGGTGGACCATTTATATGGATACACCTTAGTAAAATGGGAATGGTTGATGATATTAACGTCCTGTTTGTGGCACATTAGTATATGTGAGGGGGCTTGTAAATAACTCATGAAAGAATAAAGTTACATTTAAAACCAAACACACAATTGTTTTTCCTAAAATTCCCAACAAGTTTATTAAGGTCTGTCCATATAAATGGCCCACCCTGTAGGGGTTGAACAACTTAAAATTTTTGGAAGTCGACTGTTATGTTATCAAAATCAAGTCGACAATGACTAATCGATGGTGACGTCATCAATAAAACAAAAGATGCAAATGTTTTGCACATGCCACAATTTGTATACAATTTTATATATATAGCTCATAACACGTTGCAAAAACAGTGGAACATTACTAATGACTCATTTTAGTGCAAAACAAATGCACTTTCATTTCGTTAATAATTTGCTAAATAAATGCAGTCAACACATTGATCACTAAACGTTCTAGTAACAATATAATATATTTAACAATATAAAATATTTTAGTGCAGATGTAATGTTATTTCATAACAACATAATGCAAGGAAGACAAAAGACTAGGCTATAACCTTAAGCCTTATTCAGAGACTTGCTCTGATGCAAATTTTACCACTATGATGGTGGCACTAGAAAGCTGCTCAAAATTCTGCTCAAGTCAGGTATTTTTCACAATTATTGGCTCATCTTGGTTATCAGACCTCTCCTTGCTGGACTTTTTCACCACGTTCACCTGGGATGATGTTTACACACGCTATGAAGTTTGTCACACCTCTACGGCTGCACACTTCTCCGTTTCCTCATACTTCGAGGCTTATTC